TCCTTTCATTCCGATTTATATTTCTCATAAATTCCTCGATCCTTCTATTTTTCATCGGAAGGAAAATTCTCATTTTCTTTCCTTGTCTGAAAGCAGTACAAAAAATCTCTTTCTGACACCTAATAAGCAACCTACAGTGATGTAATTTAATGGTTTTGGATTCTGTTCCTTTAATTTTCATCCTAATTTGCAGCTGGTCCTATTTAGTGGCTTTGATTGTGTTTTTAGTTGGAAAATATGCGCTCTTTGAAATTGATATTTCATTCTTCAGATGGTTCAAGAAGATTACTGATCAAAAAAGGCACTGGGAAGGTGACGATGCTGGTGTCTGGTCGAGATTCTGTTGCAGGAAGTTCCGAGAGGAAACGGAAGTTGAAAGATTCCTGCGACGTGCCCAAGAAAAAAGTTCCCACTGTCGTTTTAGATGACTAAAACAGACGCCTTCATTCTGTTGATGTTTTTTTTTTCTAGGAAAGCGGCTGCATTTATTTACCGATTTGTGACGTGGAAAAAAGTTTCAAACTCCAATTGCTGCAAAAATTGACTGTACGTTTTCTAACAGATATGAATATCGAAGCATTTTCGAAGTTTGACAGTGAGCTGCATTCTGAGATGGATGGAATTATTTTTCCATCAGGTCTACTTTTTTTTATATATAGATTCGCTTTTCAGAAAAATTTAGTTTTTTTATCGTTCGCCTAAATCTCAAACTTTGGGAGAAAAAATTAGAGTGAGTGTAAAGAGGTTCGAAAGACATTTTTACGAACATATTTTCATTCATCTCGGATGGTGGTGTTCGGTTGACAGTTTTTTCTTTTGCGAAGAAATCTTTCATACAGACGCCAAGAAAATTCTGGTAAGTTAATTCAGTTTAGTTCAAGTTACTTCTTTTTAATTGCGTGACTAAATCTCAGATATATTTGGAGAGGACTAATCAGAGTGCGTGTGAGAAAGTTCAACCCGTCAATGAAGAGATTTTTACCAGAATATTTTCATTCCTTTCGGATAATTTTGTTCGCTAGACATTTTTATATTTTCCAAAAAACCCCTCGTGCAGACGCCGAGGAGATTCAAGTAATTTGGTACGGTTCATGTCAAGTTATATTTTGTTGTTTGGCCAAATCTCAAACCTATGGAGACAACGAATTAGAGTGCTTGTAAAAAAGTGGAAAACGTCAAAAACATGTTTTTACGAGAATATTTTCATTCATCTCGGATGGTGGTGTTCGGTTGCCAGTTTGATCTTTTGCAACAAAGCCCCCTTGTGCAGATGGTCATTTTGTCCTATTTTTGAAATTCATCGAGTTTTTTCATTTCGTGTATTCTCCAGACATGCGTCGTGCCTTCACGTTTGACGAAGATCTCGAGATCCTGTGTTATTTCCTGAGTTTCTGTAGTTATCGCCACAAGTTTGGCAACTCTGTGTGGAAAGACGCCATCTTGAACGGCGTCTTACCGCATCGGTCGTGGCAAAGCATTCGCGAACGGTATTTGAAACACGTTCGCCCGAAACTTAGTGACTTCGGTGCTTACGGGCTTTTGCCCAGAGTGCAGGAATGTATTTTAAATTATTCGGAGCCCGACGAAAACGTCAAGAAAGACGTTGAAACGTTCCTGGTTTCGCATAAGAAGGTTCAGAAGAGATGGGTGGAGCAGCGAACGAAACCGCGACAAACCCACGAGAAAGTCTACACCCGACCTTTATGTGAGTCTTTCTTGAAATTTTCAGATCTGTTTTTGTAAAACTCGAAAGAACTGATGGGCGACTTTCTTCTGAAACTTATTTATATGTTGTTATATAATTATGTAAAATTAAAGATTCAAACTTTTTGCGTCAATTGAATATACAGTTGAACCTCACTATAAGTCGAATTTCGAGGGACCATAAAAAAATGTGTCTTAGGGATGTTTTGAGTTGGGGAAAAAAGCATTTTTTTCACAAGGAAACGTAAAAAAATTTTGGGAACTTGACCCCATGAAGAACATTGAAGTTCGCTTGGAGAAGCCGAAGTAAAAATGAATGTCTCACAAGTGTGCGAGGCAAATAAGTGAAATTTAGAATTTAATACCCTACTTCATTGACAGACACGAACAACGTACAAAAAAGAGAAATAACCTTCGTTCAAATTTTAGTCTTCGTAATTTATTTTTGCTGAATTTTTGGTATCACAGTACTTTGTTTTTATCTGACTGAAAGTCAACGTTCGCGGCCAATTTTAAAGTGCAATAATTTACTGGGAAACTTATCGCCCTCTCATTTTCACTTCTTGACACTTGTTCAATTTCAGCGAGTAATTTATTGTACTGGCAAACGGAGAATCATAGAATTTCTTTATACTGTATCCTAATTATCATGTGACAAAAAATAAAAGTTTGGATTCAAGTCATGAGTTAGTTGAAAAAAATGATGGTTCTCTCTTTTAAAATTGTTACTACAGTTGGGAGGAATTATAAACTGTGGAGGAAGGATCGTCTCAAAATGTTTGATCCCTGAGATTAAATTTTAAGGAAAGGTCATTTTCTCATTTTGTGTGCGTTTCTCGCGTCGAAGCCTTCCATTCTCCTTCAGATTTGGATGAAAGATGAAAGGTAAAACAAAAATTACGAGGTGTGAGTATAAGGTGTGATTCTATTTTCATCTGACAACAACAGCGGGTGATGAAGACTCGGATTCGAATGAAGTGCCCGCTGTCGTCAAACCCAAGAAGGATATTGTCGGTCGTAAAGCATCGCGTGCTCCTCGTCCCTGGACGTCTATTGCGGATGAAGAGGACGATGGGCCGTGTCAAACTTCCAGGAAGCGGAAGAAAATACTTACGTCGGACGTCGATGCCGCAGAAGCCGCATGTGAAGAAGAAAATGTCGCACGCGGTACGTTCAACTGTTTTTT